TAAAGTGCAGCGCGGATTTTATTTTAGCGGTGAGGGGGCACGGTTCCTGGAACCACAGTAAAAAAATGGAAGATTTGTTACCAGTTCTATTATCTTCAACAATTTAGCAACGGATTTTATTTTAGCGGTGAGGGGGCACGGTTCCTGGAACCACAGTAAAAAATGGAAGATTTGTTGTCAGTTCTATTATCTTCAACAATATAGTAACGGATTTTATTTTAGCGGTGAGGGGGCACGGTTCCTGGAACCACAGTAAAAAATGGAAGATTTGTTGTCAGTTCTATTATCTTCAACAATATAGCAACGGATTTTATTTTAGCGGTGAGGGGGCACGGTTCCTAGAACCACAGTAAAAAATGGAAGATTTGTTGTCAGTTCTATTATCTTCAACAATATAGTAACTGCGATATTTGACAGTTCGTTTGTTGAAGAATAAAAGTATTTATCGTTGATATACTTTCGGCTAATAGTAGTGCCAAAACTTCCTGATTGAAAGTACAGAAGAATGTATAACAATATGTCAGCTACCACATATCTGCTATATCCAGTGCCAACGAGGCCATTCGCCCAATACCAGACCTCATTAGGCCAGCGGTGGTTGAGATGCTATTTATATCTCCAGTTGCTTGAAAAACATGTAAACAAAAATGTCATGTAATTTTTGTCACTTTTATACGAGTCATTTACAAATCAGAATTCTATAACATCCAGACACACACACACAATTAGCTGAATCATATAAATATACAAACTGAAATTTTAAAGTAGTTTTATATAATCTAGTTTTTTATATAAATCCACCTTAGTATATGAACATCATGATTTATCTCATTATTTAGTTTATATTTACTTCATCTAGAATACTTCAAGTCTTGAATATAAACTTAAATTAACAAGAAAATTTTACTTTACAGCTTACCTTTAAGGAGTGGCGTCGCCACTTTCTGTTGGTTTTTTACAAACTTAAGGTTTGCAATGATCAAACTCTCTCGAATTCTTAATTTCTCTTCGTTCTCAGCTCTCATCAGTGTAATACTTGCTGAATTCTCAAATTTCTTCAAAATATCATATTTTCTACGAGTCGATAGCCACCTAGCAGTAGAGCCCACACATTTCTCGTCACAAAACGTGCATGCAAATTTATAGATAGAAAAAAAAATATTTATCCTTAAGTATCTCATATTTAAAATGAAAAACATTTTCTATTTCTACAATATACTTAAATATACGCTCTGTCTAAGTTTAAAGGTGAATTGTTCTTTATATATAACTGTTGTCTTAAATATGGTAATACCATTACTTTTGGTTTCTTTGGTATATCAAATTTCTCCTCAAATGATAAGGTTTAAATTGCACTTTTCATGACCTAGAATAATATTACTTATCAAAACATTTTTATCAATAATATTTTAGAATTTATATTCTATAGTTTTTAATCTCTTTAAATTTTGCATTGCTTATTCTTTTAAATGTTCAAGTTAGAAACTCTTGGAAATATCTGTTGATCCCGATTTTAAGATTTCAAGTAAAAATGTGTAGGTGTATTTTGTTTTCACTATTTTGATGTATGACAGGAAAGACAGTTATACAGAGGTAGCCTTTTTGCATGCCTAGTGTGCCTCAATCACTGGACAATAATGATAATTACTGTCATAACCACGCCCGGTTACAAAGAAAGACTCCATCACTACCAGGTAGCCGACCACACAGACTAAATTATCAAAGTTTGTAGTAGTAAAATTATAATCACATATACCGCCATCGCAAAATTAAAAATGATGAAATCTAATGAACCATTTTCACTACTACAACTATGCCTTAGTAGAACAATTATTGTAATTTACATTACCTTTGTACGTGGAAGACACCAAAGATACTTCTCCCCGAGGCCTTATATTTCAGGTGATTTATAATTTCATCATGAATCAAAAGGACAGATCTTAAAAAAAATATGTGTCATAACTATATTGTACCTTATAATAGCAAAGATATGATACAATGTAGTACACAAATCCATACTGGATATACATTTATAATGGATGAAACAATGATTATCTCTTGTTTTCTTTCCAGGGATTATACACTCTTGCAATTACTCTTGCTACTTTCCACGTAATAACAGTCTTGGGTGACCCAGGTAAGTCTACATATTTAAAATACTAAGGTTAACGTTAACATAATAGTAGTTTGAGATGACCCAGGTTAGTTTGAATGGCTAAACTCTGGGATTAGCGTTAACGTGTGATAACGGTCCCAGGTCACCCAGGTAAGTCTACATATTTAAAATCTAAGATTAACGTTAACATAATAGTAGTCTCAGATGACCCAGGTTAGTCTGCTTATCAAACTCTGGGATTAGCTTTGATTAATAGTCTCAAATGTCCCAGGTATGTCTGCCTACCTAAACGCTATGATTAGCATTAACATATAACAACAGTTTCGAATGACCTAGATAAGTCTGCTTACCTAAACTCTAGAGCGTGTATGAGTTGAACATATAACAATTTCACATATCCTAGATAAACCTACTTTATAAATCTAAGGCTTGTTTGAACTCACTTGCAGCACGTACTTTTATTAGCTTTATATACGGTAGTCGTTAGAGTATTCTACCGATAAGGCTACTATGAAATCAAAACTGGAAAAGTAGTGAAACAATAATAATGTTACCGAAACCTTGCCTAATGAAAGAAAGAACAAAGAAAAGTAATCTATTACAAGTATTAGAGCATTACTGTTCATCAACAGTTATTTTACGAACTGCTGTGAGTGTTTTTATGTGTATTTAGTCTTTCTTGTCGATAATTCCCGATTGATTAGACCAGTAAATGCAATATTTTACATGATTACTTTAGGAATATTGTCCTTTACGTGCAAAAGAGCATCGCAATGTTACCATGGTTACCAGTGGGTTGGAAAATCTGGCAGTAAAATACAATATATTTTCATTATGCTTATAACAAAAATAAGAATAGTAATTTCAATTAAAGATGCAAAGAATGTTTTATCGGAAATGTAAAAAACTAAACCAAACTATACATTAATGTATAAAGATTTGCTCTTTTAGTTCGCAGTTTTTAAGCTGTACTAGTCCTTTTGAGAAATAGACAAGTAGTGTGTTATCGAAAACAAATGTATACAGTTTCACACTCAACAAAATGTATTATCGAAAACAAATGTATACAGTTTCACACTCAACAAAATGTATTATCGAAAACAAATGTCTACAGTTTCACAGTCAACAAAATGTAATCACTGTACAGAAGAAAAACAGATTAATATACTGACAATAGGATTAACAATTGTCCCTCAAGATCAATGTTCCATTGAGATAAGATGATAATATTGAATTTGAGTGTCAAATATCTTATGATAAACGATAATAATAAGCATACAAATATACGTAGAAAATTACCGTATGGAGTTATGTACTCTCTGAGAAGTATTGCAGTCCCCTCACCTCCCTACATACAAAATAGCTTTGGAAAAGGCACTTTTCTTATGTAAAATGTTTAAAAAAATCAACACCTACTGTTATAAATTAGTGAAGTAATCTTATTACTGGAAAAGTAAAACTGGCTAATTAGTTGATAGGTAGTAGAAATACAGATCCTATTCTTCATTACTTCAAATATAAACTATTTATAAGCCTTATAAAGGCTTCATGAACTGTTATAAGGTTTTAATGAACGATTGTCCTTTTTTGCGTGTCATACATTAGTGATAAAAGTAGAAAAATTGAAGTAACTATTCACAACCTCATGGACTTCCTTCTAATAATGTTGAAATATAAATTATGGTTTTCTAATTTTGTTTGATTTGTTGGCCTATAATCTGAACTTAAAAATATTGCCGTCTTCAAATTAAGTCTTCGTTATCTAGCATTTTTGTTAAATAAATATACATATAAAGGTTTTCAACAAGATTATCTGATTCTGGATTTTTTACAAAGTAAAAAGAATCTTCTGGCATTTAAACAAGTTTATGATAATGCTTTACAAATATACAATAATAAACATGATTATGGAGAAACATTGTATATAATTACTATAAAATCCACATATTATGAGAATGCCCTCTCTCTATTGCATAAAAAATGAGTTGTTGGTAGTTTACAATGTGATTTGGTGTCACCCAAATATTCAGACAGTGGCCCACCAGCATAATAGTTTTAAAACTACAGGAAGTTATGCTACTTCCAACAACAATATGATGATCGTATTCATGACTCCCATGACAGAAATACCACATAACAAACGTGTATAAATCAAACTTTAGCTGATGAAAACTACTCCATGCAACAGATTGAGGCATAATTTTTGCTTCAATACGAAATGCGTGGTAATCCTAAAAAGGGTACGTGAAACTAGTACTGTTTGTAACAGAAATGGTCTAGGTAGAAAGCTTAAATTCTTCATAAGTGTTTTTAAATAACAAAGGTCATACATTACAATCCAGCAGAGATACTTCTAATGACCTATTTGCAAGTACGGTGTGAATGTTACTTACAGATCAGTAAGATACGAGTTAGTCTCAATGAATGCGTAGCTGCTAAAGAAAAAAAAACACTGCTTAAGAGAGATAACCAAACCGAAAGGTGGAAGTGGGCGTTAGACTTCACACAATAGGATGACCAAAACTTGAGAAGACTGGTGCTCTTTACAAATGATTGCAAATTCAAACTGTTTGGTAACAATCAACGATGGTAAAGAGGAGAACGTTTACACTGTTAACATACATCTTTAGTGAAGCATTCTCGGATACCAATACAAACGTGGCCTACCTTGCAGCCAGTGGTGTTGGGCTTTATATAATATTGATGGCACCTTGAGTGCTGACAGGTATAAGAACATTCACATTCATTATGAGATTTACAGAAAAGCATGACCTATTTGGCAGGAATTCGTCCTCCAGTAAAACATTGATCCCAAATATGCAACAAATGTGGTGAAACGATACCTTGAAGAATGCCGATGGAACTCTCGAAACCAGGACTTTCTCTGCACCAAGTACAGATACGAAAATTATTAAGGTTCTATAGGTTTATATGGAATCTGAGAAGATCAAACGGTAACCAAACAACCTAGATGAATCGTGAGAAGTAACAATATTCCACAATCATACACTGATAAAATTATGGTTGCATGAAATAAATGTACATTGTTCTGCTTAAAGCAAGTACATAATACTCGTAAATTGCAAAACTTATTAGTTTTCTTTTGTATTCTATATAATAATGTATTGTATCAATGGTCAATTTACCATTTTTTGCAATTAGTCGGTGATTGTGATTCCTATGTGTGTATCACAATTATTTCCATTACTGTACATTTTAGGGTGAGTAGATTCGAAGTACGAAAACAAACGCTAGACAAAAACATCTCCGAGTCTATTATTTCAAATATCAACAAACACGACAGCTACTCGGTGCTTATGTGATTGTGTAGAGTATAACAGAAGTAATTTTTCTTTCACACATACCATGTGCTGAAACTCAACACGAACGACAGCTACTCAGTACCAGGTAATTAGCTTAAGTATGACAGAAGATATTTATTTTTCACACATACCACGTACGACAGCTACTCAGTACCGGTTACTTAGCTTGAGTATGACAGAAGATATTTATTTTTCACACGTACGACAGCTACTCAGTACCGGTTAATTAGCTTAAGTATGACAGAAGATATTTATTTTTCACACATACCACGTACGACAGCTACTCAGTACCGGGTAATTAGCTTAAGTATGACAGAAGATACTTATTTTTCACACACATACCACGTACGACAGCTACTCAGTACCGGTTAATTAGCTTAAGTATGACAGAAGATATTTATTTTTCACACACATACCACGTACGACAGCTACTCAATACCGGTTAATTAGCTTGAGTATGACAGAAGATATTTATTTTTCACACATACCACGTACTACAACTGAACACGTGCGAGAGCTACTCAGTACCGGTTAATTAGCTTGAGTATGACAGAAGATATTTCTTCTGTTTTATATAAAACACATACCTAAACTAATAAGGACTAAAGATGCTAAATACAAGGTATGGCAAAGGCTATTTTTATTTTTTTAGACTTATCATTAACTGAAATGATAAACTTACAACAGTTATGTTAAATACCCGTTTCACGTGTCTCAGAAGCAATTCTTAGTTTAAGCTAATGATTAATTCACATAATGAACTCGTAAATGCATATTTTGCGTTAAAGCATCAACTTAATATCTCATTTGAAGCTATAATGTATGTTGTTATGAAAAGTACAAGGCTTTCACTGGAGAGGGAAAAATACGAATTCGAGTAACAGTTTCTATAAATTAAAGTTATAAGTACAATGCTTTGTAAAGTAGTTGCCTTCAAAGATTTTTTCATGTTTCGTTTTTCCTGCAACTGAACATTATCATTATTTTGAGAATTATATTTAACGTGATACTAATTATTTAGTGTTTTGTTTTTGTTTTTTGACGCACATTAAAGTACTTTCTTTGTAGTATTGTTCGGATTGAATATAATGCTACTCGTTTGTTCCGGACTTTGTGTTCCATCATCTGTATTACTGCTAATTGGATTATGTGTGGTAAGTACAGCATTTTCATACATTACTAACAAGTTGTTATTTTATGTTTAATGGGAACTTGATACTTGAACCAAAATAATTCATATTGTAAGCTGAAATAAATGTATTTTGAAATGGTGATTGTTCTCTGTCATTGTAAAAAATATGTATGTTAATTGTGTGCCCCTAAGAACGTACCAGGAAAGTACAGCCGAGTTCAAGATCGTTTAAGATATTTATTACCAAAACGGATTTTTTATTACTCTAGGAAAGAATGAAATAAATGGTTGAAATTAATCCTGACAATGAAATGGTCTTTTTTTCTCATATTTTCCTGCCCCTCTCTAGCCCTACCACCTAATTACTCAGTCCAGCATTCCCTTTTATACACTATAGCTCTTTTCTTTTTTACTAATGTTCATCGTCTCTTACTTTAAATTAATTAGTACTGTAGTTCTTCCTTGCTTTTGCAATCGCAATCATTAACCCTTTTTCTTCCTGTACGACATATTCATGGACTCGTGTTTTTTCTTCAACTGACTGTTTCGTGCCTATCAAGTTTCTTTCCGTACCATATGCGTTATGTTTACTCTTGTTCAATGAGAATCGTGTGGTCCCTACTTCATGTCTATCATGTTTCACTTCGCATTGTGTGAGTCAACTACCTTGCTCTTTCATGTGCATTATATGTATCACATGACTACGATTCTTCTTGTTTCATGCTCTTAAAATTCGTTCCTGTTTTTTCTGTGTTAGATTCCTCCCTGTGTTTTCATAGAGTCAAATTCCGTTTTGTTTAACAGAAAACAGTTTTATGTTTTTGTTTTTATTGTGAGCCAAATTTCTTTCCAATATGGCTAGTGTTAGGATTTTCTTATCTCATAAGAGTCTGGTTATATATTTTCTCACATGTAGCAGGTTATACCTTGTTTCATGTGCTTTGTACTCCTCTGTTTGTAATGAGTCAAAGCCCTTCTTATTTCATGTCAGACGGGCTCCTCCTTGTCTTATTTCGGTCAATTTATTCCCCTCCTTGTGATTGTCAGCTATCCTCTAGCCTCATGTTATAGAGATTCCCATGTAAACCCCGAACATGTGAGTCATTTTCGGAACTGAACTACTCCCAAACTTTTATGTGGCAGATAAACTATATGTCCATTGCCATTACCTCACAGCGGTAGAAGAGAAAACAGCACTAAACCTTCTTCTCAACCATTTTGACTCATTATTTTGTTGTTGTTTGTTTGTTTTAGCGCAAAGCTACACAATGGGCAATATGGTTCTGTCCACCGCGGAGAATCGAACCCCGTATTTTAGCGCTGTAAGACTGTACATTTAGCACTAACCCATGGGGTGACTTTAGATTACTGATTGATCAAAAGGAATACAAGTCGTCGAGTTGTTAAATAAATTACCGATGAATAAGCAAGAAAACCTGCATATGAGAAAATAAAAAACAAATTGTATGTTACACACTATTTTAGCTGAGTAATTAACAGCACACTATTTTATAGTCTCTTAATGTCAATCTCACTTAAAACATTACACGTGTTTTTCTGATTCCGGTTATTCGTATGGGCAAGTTCTTTACAACGAAAAAAAGTTTAAGATATTGAGTATGCACAAAAAAACAGACTGTGGTTACTTTTTTTGCATACTTATTGATCACGATATGATACCAAATAGAGATAAATATTCAAAAATTCATGAACCTACAGGCTGAAGGCTAATACACGTCTTATAGAGGGATCTGGCATGACATGATGGTTAGGGGGGTTCAAATACTCTAACCAAACATGCTCGAACTTTCAACTGTCAAAGCATTATAATGTGACGGCAAATCCCACTTTTCGTTGATAAAAAAGTTAACCCAAAGATTGGCGGTAGGTGGTGTTGATAGCTGCCTTCCATCTAGTCTATCACTTCAAAATTAAGGACGGCTAGTGCAGATAGCCCTTGAGTAGCTTTGCGAGAAATATTAGGTCGTGAAGAAATTAATGTCGCGTTTTTAGACGAAGAAACCCGAAGAACTTATATATTAAAACAATTCATTTATTAAATGAAATAGTCTCCATTCTCACATTTCGATGTCCTCTTTAACACCTTCCACATTTGCATACGTTTTCCCATTAACAGAGTGTTGCAGCGACCAAAAAAGATGGTAATCTGATGGTGCAATATCTGGAGAATATGGTGGGTAGGGGAGAACTTCCCAACCCAACTCCATAATCTTATGTTGCCTCAAACGTGCTACATGTGAACGTGCATTGTCGTGGAGAAGAACATCTTTCCAATTGACGAGTGAAGGGCATTTCTGATGAATGACTTGATTTAAACGTTCCAGTTGCTGATTATAGATTTCTGCATTGACAGTTCGCTGTGGATTGAGGAGTTCGAAATGAGTTATTCCTTTGGTGTCCCACAAAAGGCAAAGCATCACTTTCTGCGGATGGAGTCCAGGTTTTCGGGTCGGAAGTGGTTTTTGTCTAGGATTGAACCATTGTTTTTGGCGTTTAAATATTCGCATAG